AGTATGACTAAGTTTTTGAAAATGCTTGTGGGAAAGATTGATTCTGCATTCTATCACAGCAGTAATAATTTAATGGATGGTGTTTTCACTTAACATTATTTTATGTTACAAAAGCAGAAATTCACAGGAAAACTCAGCAGGTCTGGCAGTTTCCAGGAAGCGAAAGCAGAGCTAATGTTTCATGTCCAGTGACCCTTTTTGAGAACACTGCACCCAAAACGTTAACTCTGCTTTCTCATCAAAGACACTGTCAAACCTGCTGAGATAACAAGGTGTAGAGCTGGATGAACACAGCAGGAAAGCTGACATTTCGGGTCTAGACCTGTCTTCAGCCATTTCTGATTTCACTCCTTTATCCCCATTCTCTGCCTCTGCTGTCAGTCAATCCTCTATCCATGTCCGTGCCTTGCCCTTAACACCATGGGCTGTTTATCTTATTTAGTAGCCTCCTGCATGGCACCTCGTTAAAGGCCTTCTGAATTCCAAATAGATCATGTCCACTACCTTTCCTTTGTCTAACTCATTACCTCCTCAAAGAATTCTAATAGATTTGTCAGACATGACCTCCCCTTGACAAGGCTATTATGACTCAGCCCAATTTTACCGTATGCAATAACTCCACAGAGGCCGGTATCCTGTCACCAAGTCAGCCTTTATTTACACATGAACGGTCTTTGAATCTCTTCAGAGTCAACTCTCAGAGTGTTTGTACCTCTGACACTTCCCTTTTTATCTTTCAGACAGGGATCCCTGATTAGACCAGATTAACAGTCCTAATCTGAGACCTCGTATTCTATGAGGTCCAGTTGGCTGGCCTCATTACAATCACTGCACCATGTACTTCCATGTACTCTGCAATCTCATCAATTTCACCTATAATAATGCACTCCAAAATCCTCCAGCGACCGAGGTGGGGCTAACTGGCGTATAATGTCCTGTCTTCTGCTTCCCCCCACCTTTTCAAAAATGAGTGTTACATTAGCCACTTTCCAGTCCCCTGGAACCCTTCCTAACTCCAGTGATTCCTGAAAGATCATCACCAATGCCTCTACATCTCTTAATCTATCTCCTCAAGAACTCTATGTTAGACTCCATCTTGTCTGGGTAATTTCTCCACCTTCAGTCCTTTCAGCTCCCGCAGAACCTTCTCCTGAGTGATGGCCACTATGTTCACCTCTGCCCCCTGACTCTTTTCAAGTCCTGGTACACGATTGGTGTTTTTCACTGTGGAAACCAATGCAAAGTACTATTCAGTACCTCTGCCATTTCTTTGTTCCCCATTACTACTTTTCCAGCCTCATTTTCCAGTGGTCCAGTATCCATGCTTGCCTCTCTCTTACCTTACATATATTAATAAAACTTACAGTTTTGTTTATATTACTAGCTAGCGTACCCTCATATTTGCTTTTTTAGTTATCCTCTGCTGGATTTTAGAGGCTTCCTAATCCTTACCAACCCTTACTTAATTGTAATACCATTTCAGCTGATTCAAGCTTCTCCTTCTAAAACTGCAGGGTGAATTCTATCATATTATAGACACTGTCCCCTCAGGAGTTCCTTCACTTCAGCTCCCTAATCAAATCTGCCTCATAACACATGACAAAATCCAACATTGCCTGTTCTATAGTGGGCTGTATCACAAGCTGCTCCAAAAAACCATTACGTAGATATTTCACAAATTCCTTTTCTTGAGATCTGCTATCAACCTGATTTTCCCAGTCCACCTGCATATTTATGTCCCCCATGATGATTGTACCACTGCCTTTCTTACGTGCCTTTTCTATCTCCTGATTTATTTACTTCCCCATGTCTTGACTGCTGCTAGGAGGCCTGTACACAACTCCCATTATGGTCTTTTCTCCTTTGCAGTTCCTTTACCCCTTGCAAGGCTATATCACTTCTTGCTATCGATTTAATTTGTTTCTTTGCTAACAAGGCAACCCTGCCCCCTCCGTCCATCTGCCTGTCCTTTCGATAGGGCATGTCTCCCAGCCCTGATCCCCTTGCAGCCACGTTTCAGTGATACACACAACATTGTACCCATAAGTTTAAATCTGCACTACAAGCTGATTTACGTTGTTTTGTATACTACGTGCATTTAAGTATAACACCCTCAGTCCTGCGTTGACTGATCCCCTTCTCATAGTTATCTCCTTATCTGCTGTGCCTGAAAGTTAGATTCTTGATCTTTTCCATATTCTCTCCTAATACTTGTTCTGGAAACTTTAACCTTCCCTGAGCCTTTTCCCGCCCTTTAACTCTTTGCATAATTTTCTATGTAACTGAACCCACTCTCCAAATATTTAGTTTAAAGTCATGTCCATAGCCCTAGTCATGCAATTCGCAAGGACTCCCAGCATGATTCAGGTGGAGCTTGTTTCATCTAAGCAGCTCCCTCCTTCCCCTGTATTGATGCCAATGTCCCATGAATTGTTGTTATAATACTAATGAGGTCCTTCAGACTGCCCGATTTTCAGGCATTAACGTACACTGTATGTGTTCTAAGATGTTGGGTGCAAGATCATTAGCAAAGTGACGGAAGGAATTGTCAACAGTGCTATCAAGCAGCACTCTTAAAAAAATAACTTGCTGACTGAAATAACAAGGTGTGGAGCAGGATGAACACAGCAGGCCAAGCAGCATCAGAGGAGCAGGAAAGCTGACTTTTCGGGCCGAGACCCTTCTTCAGAAATGGGGGAGGGGAAGGAGGTTCTGAAATAAATAGGGAGAGAGGGCGAGGCGGATAGAAGATGGATAGAGGAGAAGATAGGTGGAGAGGAGACAGACAGGTCAAAGAGGCGGGGATG